AAATGATGTGCCCAGTCCAATGTGTGACAAGAAGAGAACATAATCCTTATATTTACACTAGATATCAAAGGGTTTTCATTAAACATATATAATGAACCGCCATGGTCTTATCACAAACTTCAGAACTATTGAATCAGAAACGATGAATATTCTGTCAAAAGAAGGACAAAGCACTGTAGAAGAAATATCGGAAGAAAGGGTGAAATATACATATGTATAAACATAGTTTGGAAGGAAATAAAACGAAAAAGACCAAACCATTTTATATAGTAAAGTAAATCAAGATATACAGACAACAGTGGCTGAGGAGCATACACCAGCCAAGATAAGCTTGTCTCACTTAGATCCGTAGAAACCTAAATGTGAAAGACAACATAGATACGTTTGATGACTGTTAAGTAAAGAAATGTAACGACCAAATCCGTGTGAAACAAGTAGGTACAATTGTGAACAATACAACCTGCAGGACGGTTGATGTAATTTTCAGTAATAGTGTTTCTTCATTTAACAATGGTTTAAACTATGTGGTAGGATCCGTGTAAATGTAAACCTGTTATGAAACAGAAGAGTTAGTTTTTAAAGTTTTGATGAAAACACTTTTACTTTTGATGAAGTAGGTGATGTTTGATTGGCACACGAATGTTAATTAAAGATGCTTTTAGATCAAAACAATTTTGAAAATCGGTATGAAATATGGAAGCGTGACCTAGTCATCAGAAAACGTTCCGCATGCGGAAGTTCCGGAAGGGGTAGCGTCTTCACCTTCATCGACGACACACGTCATTCTAAATAGTTGTCAAACCAAGTAAGAACTGTCACGTTCTCAAATGAGAACAAGGTAAACAACTATAGAACACAATGTTATAATAACAAGCATCAAACACGTCCAGCTTCATCTATTACAAGGGAATATAATGTTTCTCAACGAGATCATTATGACTTCAACCTGCATTTGTCAGTTGCCAACGTATAACACGAAAATTACACGCTCTTATCAAACAGCTCTGTTGAAAGCTTTACCAGTTGGTTTCCTTGTATTTTTTGTTAAAGAAGCTTCTTTTCGTAGAAAAAGATCGAGGTAAACAGTTGACAAAAAAGCATCTTTCGCTTCCGATGCGATGGAAGTGGTCGATATAATTACTCGTTATTTAAACACATGTAGACAATATGTCATCAATATATCTGAAAGTGAAATTGAAGACCTTCACTAGGTCTTTGTTGCCTGTTCTCTGGACTTTTAAAAGCAGTAAGGAGAGGGGGTATAGTTTGTTTCTATAGATTGTACAAAAATGCATGATACAATGATACAGCATAGAAAACTAGCTAATTTAACTGGATCATACCACTTTTACGCCCTTCTAGAACTTGTCGGTGATGCTAGGGGACTAAAATTCTGAAACCTGGAAGGCGACTGAGGAAAATCCAAAATGAACTGGCGAAGGTATGCCAATAATTTGTTGGAAGATCCTACCACCAATTTCGGCGAAGGGTAGTTTATAACCTTATGCTTTGACCATCGTTCAATTTTCTTGAAAAAAGAAAACTATAATAACAAAAGAATAAAAGAGGTCCTTCAGTTTAGGATGTCGTATGGTAGTGTGCTAAAGGGAAAAGCAAGTGTGCTGAAGAAATGCTTTAGACGAGAGCATTGAATATCGATCAAACGCTGTTTGTAGTTCTTTAAAATCCACCCACCATTAATCAAACTTCTTGTGTAAACAGTATCGCAATAACACTGTAAATGAGCGAGGTCCGTGTCTTTCTTATTAACAGACGATCTAAATAATTGTAATACAGAATCATGGTTAGCTGGCATTCTTTTTATCAAGGAGATGAACTGTAGGTTTTATCAATGTTGTTTCCAAGGAAAATGTTTTTAATAATCTCCATGTCATTGTTTTCCCCCCTACACTGGTTCAGAAGACAGTGAGCCTGTTCTACGAGGGTAACGGAATCCGGGTTCGGCCTACCACAATTCATATCAATTCTGTTTTTCCAAATATAGCTCAAAACATTATCTCCTCTATCAAAGTTAAAATACTGTTGGTATTGATGGTGTTCCTTCTGAACTTTTTAGAAACTCTGGTTCTGATATCATTGTTCCTCTGTGAAGCTTGATTAATCGTTGTTTTAATCATTTATAGTTCCCACATCTGTAGGGGAGGCACGTGCAGTCCTAGTCTACTTACTGTAGTACTTAACCCCCATATCTAAGATTGTTGACAGAACTATGTGTCTAGATGTCTGCATTTGTTACTAATATTTTTCATCGTGTTCTTTGCAGCCTCCAGGATTTAAATGTCAGTATGCCACAGTGTTATCGATCGACCAGTCCAATGTTTTGACTGATTGCCTTACTCATAATATACTAATCAGGAAGTTGGGGGACAACTCAATTATCATTTAAACCAAGACGTAGTAGAACTGTACTCAGGTTTACCTAAATTATGCATAGATTTAAATAAATGTACCTGTGTTTATTTCAATCATATTTGTGTCCCGTGGAACATAGGTATAGATACATCAGCCTGATTTATTTGAAGATGTACTCAATTTACTTGTACCAAGGTAAAAGTGATTGATACCTAAAGTTGGCTTCAGTCTAGGTAAAATAAAATGGAACAAAGGTATGACTGAATGGCACCTAGGTTTAATTACTTGATTATAGATTCAAAGAATTAAATATGTGTTAAAAAGGCGTTCTATACCTGAGGGTTTAAAATAACCAGGTATCGTCTAAATATATTCAAACATTTATAACTTTCAAAATTTAAAATGCATTTGTCTGATTTCAGGAATGAGAGTAGAGGTGTCCAGGCTAATACATTTCTAAGCCTTGTACATTGTAATTTTACTGTCTACATTTCTTTAATTAACTTCATGTACTTTATGTAAACACTACACCAGTATTACTCTTTATAACATATCTTTATATCAACACTTTATGGTATATTTGTCTTTATCCGTACTTAGGTTAAACTCGTGTCTCTTTTGGGTTTTGTAGACAATGCAAAGCATATCGAGATTTATTTAAAATATTTTTGATGTTTTAATCACCATCTTCCATACAACAACTTTTTGTCCCTTATAAAGGGCCTTCGGCGTCCATCGTCCGAAGGGATTATCCAGACACCTAAATTTACACTACCGTTCTCGATTTTAGTTTATAACTTTGTATTTGTTTTGTGTTCTATCTATGTGATGTAATTAATATAATATCTGTGTCTTGATAAAGGGGCAAATTGCCTCGTAAGTTTGACAAGTCGCGTGTCTGTACTGTCGTTATTACTTCATTGATCATATATATATACTATTACAACTAGCCCATCTTATATGTCTCGTCACATTCAAAACGTTGTTTATATACCATTTAGATATGATATAACTCATTTACAGTGAAAAGGGTTAAAAAAAAACCGTGTACTTTGCGCAAGTCTGATATCATTGTGTTATAACGATAACTACAAACGTTATGTTTAATGAGCTTCATCAAGAGAATTTGCAATACAAGTGATTCACTTTCATCAATCTCAAACAAACAAACACACACACACACACACACACACACACACACACACACACACACACACACACACACAAATTAAAATTATTATCGGAGGTAAAAAAATATCTGTGACGTCAGAGTTTTGCTCCTGATGAAATCATTAACGTTGCTTTATCCTATTAAATGTTCACCAGCCTTTATGATAACATCAAAATCTCATGGACCAAATCCAGATGAACAGGTCCAAACTTTGACCAAGTTTAAAGTAATAAAACAAAAAAAAAATCAAGTCGCTGGACCACCTCCTAAATTTCAGACGATTTTATTTTATGCATTTGCCTATTTTTTATTTTAACTTGATTAAATCTCGTACCTTTTTCGAACGGGTGTAACAGGACAATCAGCTGTCCATATAATACAATAGTATAGGAAAGACAACTCCAGTTTGATGATTGTTTTGCCTGTGTATGTTTCTTCTTTTAAACAGGCATATTTTTAAAGTGACATCAACGTTGTAGAAACGAAAAGAAAATAGTTACAGAAATGACAGAAATGGTTGAAGAAACGAAAGAAATAACTCCAGAAACAAAGAATGTAGTAGAAAAGAAGCGAGAGAAAGTCATACGAATTTTGCAAGACGTTATACACCTGGGGAACATATACGTTTGTAAATATTCTAATCTGTCAACTACAAAGTTTTCAAGGTGTTGTATTGCGAATTTTTAGACTTCACAACCGTCAACTGCCAAATTTTAGACGGTAAGAAACGTTCTATGTTTACAAATAGGATTAGTAAAGTATTGTTTTATTTAAATAGCTCAGCTCGGATCTTCTCCAATTTTTTATGAAGAAAACTTGTAAGAATTAACTTTCTATTTAGTTAAGGTTATCGGGGATAACAAAAATTGTACTCGGGTAAATTTTACGTTCGCCAATTTTTCAATTTACTCAAGTCAAATTGCAGTTATCCCCTGATAAACGGATGAAAAGGGAGAGCTGATGCTTAATTGTGATGTTGAAAGAGGGCCAAGTAACTTGTGCCAAAATCATTGGACGAACATTAGTGCTAATAAAATATTAACTTTGGTAATAAAAGCATTTAGCTTACAAAATATTTACGAAAAAAAAACTTCTCGAAAAGATTAAAACCAATTCTTTATAAGGTATAATGTTATGAAACCCTCCTACAAACATTCGTTTCATGTAAATTACCTCAAATATACACAACTGTCTCATTTGTGTGTGCTATAACATTTAATTTAATGATAAAACAGGTCGAGTATGTATTGTATTGCCGTTAGAAATATTGTTGATTCTCCTATGAACGAATATCTCATTTTTACAATGCATCCATTCTTCACTCCTGCTTTTAGGTTACGTTCTGTATTTGAAAATCGTCGAAGTTATGACATTCGCCGATCACGGTGACTAAAGCGGGATAACTCTAACAGTATTACTGAAACTACCCCGGAAGTAAACATCACACTACAGCGGCATGAGCCGCCTGTATGACAATAAACCCTTGGCCAATCTGCCCGTGGGTAATGTCCGCGTGGCGAGGGTGTGGTGTGAGGCAGCATTAGTAAGGTAACTTCACACTGGACTTAGCTGTATAGTGAATCGATCGGTGTGGGGAGTCATCTCTCGATTTTACGTTAAACTTGGAACAAGTTTCTCTTTGACACACATAGGACAACTCAAAGAAATGTTTCATATTCAAATAGTTTCCTTTTAATAAGTTGAATCGTATCTCGTGGTGTGTTAGTATGATGACCAGTTAAACTTGTAAAATGGAAATTATTTTAAATAACAGACATTTTCATAGAATTAGTCCCCTGTGCTATGACCATACGTAATCATTCTCTTTACAGAGGGGAGGGTGTTATCATCGAAGGCATCATCAAAGGGCGTGGCAGAGTGGTGATTACTGACATCGAGGACTCAAAGGTAGGCTATTCATTGTATGTGTGTTACGATTATCCATTTAGTTCCTGCATTTATTTTTTGCGTGATTTGGTGTAACATAACGTATACAGAATTTCATTCTGTGCAACATTGTTTGTGTATAGCATTTGACGTATATATTCTTTTCTTTAATTATCTAAAATGACCTTCGATGTATTTAGCTGACCTTTTCTTTACGGCATGGGTAGCCATGCACTTATTTCAATATATTTAGATGTACATGTACCATTGTAAAGATAATGTAATACTCTCTCCAGCACAGATACTATCTCCTATACGTCAGCCTAGACAGGGTACATAGGCGCAAGTTTGATAGCAGTGGGAATGAGGTGGAGCCAAACTTTAGTGAAACACAGAAAGTGAGGACCGGATATCTCAACTCCTCATACAGTAAGTAAGAAAGTGAGGTCTGACTACCTCAACTCCTCCTACAGCAAGAAAGTGAGGTCTGACTACCTCAACTCCTAGTACAGTAAATAAAAAAGCAAAGTCCGACTACCTCAACTCCTCTTACGGTAAGAAAGTGAGGTCCAAAGTGAGGTCCAACTACCTCACCCCCTCCTACATTTGTAAGAGAGTGAAGTCTGATTTCCTTTGCTCCAGGATAATAAGTAAGAAAACAGTCTGGAGGACAAGTGGACATAGTCCATTGAGGTACAGGTAAATAGAGAATGTGTAGGTACGTTAAAGTAAGATATACATAATAAAGATGGTCTGTTGATACACTGAACCTCATTCTACCAACTTTCTCTGACCTCCGTCATGTTACATGTTCCACGGTAATTGTTTCATTGTTTTTTGACAATGTGATTGTTTTATGAACTTGAATGACTGTACTTATTATGGAAAAAATCAAAGTTGTGACTAATGCATGTTTATGTACAGAGGTGGAAGCTAAAGGACAGACTGATCGTCTAACTAATCAAGAAGCCACCAACCTACTGGCTAACCAAGAGCTGTCCACACTGACCAGTAAACAACGACCCTCTGGATGTGACCAATGCCTGTCACTATGGTTACAGGAAAGTGAGGCTGACAAACTAGAGATTACCGAAGGAGATTCTGTTCGAGTTAAAACGAGAGGAAATGGACCATTAATATGTAAATACCACACTGACTTGCCATGTAAAGTCATTGACAGATATTTTTTATCAGATATGGAGGAATGATTTAAGTGTTCTGATAGGCCACCTTGTCTTCTAGTTGCTAAAACAGTTTCTGGCTGAAGGGTTATGCCATTTATGGAGTCAAAACTGTAGGATGCTACTTCTTAGGTCAATAACAGAATATATGCTATTCCTAAGCCATTTTCTAAAAATCAAAACTTATCACTGATCTTTTCATTGAAAATAGAAGTGTAGAATCTGTAACTCATCTTGAATGAAAAATCATTTGGGTTTGCTTTCTTATTGTATTTGTTTCATGTTGAAAATCGTACCTCCCTCTGTGTATTTTGATGATACTTTCATTCCGTTGGAACTGATGTTAACATTGGCTTTCATTTACACTCAATGGTTGTTTGTTTACAGTTAGTATTGCTAAGATGGATAATCAGTCAGCAAATGTATCCAACTTTGCTGGTGGAGAACAGGTGGGCGGGTCATGGACAGACAAAATCATGGGGCTTAAGTCAGATACACCTGAGGATGAGGAGGAAGAAGATGACCAGGACTGGGTATGTAATGTCTGTAGACAGCTTTATCAACATTTAACATCGATTGAACTTTTTTTATAGACAATGAATCTGATTTAAGCTGCTAGTATTTCCATCATATTGATTTTCACAAGTTGATAAACATTATTAATTCATTACTATAATTAGGATAATTAACAGTTTATACAATTTTACATTGATGTTTCTTTTACTTTCTTTATTGATTTTGTGTTGTAATCAAACACTTACGATTCAAATTTTATAGGTAGGTAATTTTTATTTATCTTTAGTGTTAACTATGTATAACACTATGATGGACAGACATTGCCTATCTGCTCTTTGGATGAATTTTTGTGTTTTTAACATAAGTTTTGTATTTATAGTTCACAGTATATTTTTTCACATTTCATACATACATAGCTGATGCAATTAGATTCATTCTTTGTGATACATTGAAAGGTGTAATTCTCTGGTCTTTTGTTTGAATTTTCCTCATGTTTGATGTTGACACTCTTTATATTTATCCCAGGATTGACAGAGTTTGTTAATCTCCAGGATGAACAATGTATTATTGACAGAGTTTGTTAATCTCCAGGATGAATACTGTATTACTGACAGATTTTGTTAATCTCCAGGATGAATACTGTATTACTGACAGATTTTGTTAATCTCCAGGATGAATACTGTATTACTGACAGAGTTTGTTAATCTCCAGGATGAACATTGTATTATTGACAGAGTTTGTTAATCTCCAGGATGAACATTGTATTATTGACAGAGTTAATCTCCAGGATGAACATTGTATTATTGACAGAGTTAATCTCTAGGATGAACATTGTATTATTGACAGAGTTAATCTCCAGGATGAACATTGTATTATTGACAGAGTTAATCTCCAGGATGAATACTGTATTATTGACAGAGTTTGTTAATCTCCAGGATGAACATTGTATTATTGACAGAGTTTGTTAATCTCCAGGATGAACATTGTATTATTGACAGAGTTTGTTAATCTCCAGGATGAACATTGTATTATTGACAGAGTTTGTTAATCTCCAGGATGAATACTGTATTATTGACAGAGTTTGTTAATCTCCAGGATGAACACTGTATTATTGACAGAGTTTGTTAATCTCCAGGATGAACATTATATTATTGACAGAGTTAATCTCCAGGATGAACATTGTATTATTGACAGAGTTTGTTAATCTCCAGGATGAACATTGTATTATTGACAGAGTTTGTTAATCTCCAGGATGAACATTGTATTATTGACAGAGTTTGTTAATCTCCAGGATGAACACTGTATTATTGACAGAGCTTGTTAATCTCCAGGATGAACATTGTATTATTGACAGAGCTTGTTAATCTCCAGGATGAACATTGTATTATTGACAGAGTTTGTTAATCTCCAGGATGAACACTGTATTATTGACAGAGTTTGTTAATCTCCAGGATGAACATTGTATTATTGACAGAGTTTGTTAATCTCCAGGATGAACACTGTATTATTGACAGAGTTTGTTAATCTCCAGGATGAACACTGTATTATTGACAGAGTTTGTTAATCTCCAGGATGAACATTGTATTATTGACAGAGTTTGTTAATCTCCAGGATGAACACTGTATTATTGACAGAGTTTGTTAATCTCCAGGATGAACACTGTATTATTGACAGAGTTTGTTAATCTCCAGGATGAACACTGTATTATTGACAGAGTTTGTTAATCTCCAGGATGAACACTGTATTATTGACAGAGTTTGTTAATCTCCAGGAAGAACATTGTATTATTGACAGAGTTTGTTAATCTCCAGGATGAACACTGTATTATTGACAGAGTTTGTTAATCTCCAGGATGAACACTGTATTATTGACAGAGTTTGTTAATCTCCAGGATGAACATTGTATTATTGACAGAGTTTGTTAATCTCCAGGATGAACATTGTATTATTGACAGAGTTTGTTAATCTCCAGGAAGAACATTGTATTATTGACAGAGTTTGTTAATCTCCAGGATGAACACTGTATTATTGACAGAGTTTGTTAATCTCCAGGATGAACATTGTATTATTGACAGAGCTTGTTAATTTGTTAATCTCCAGAATGAACATTGTATTATTGACACAGTTTGTTAAACACTGTATTATTGACAGAGTTTGTTAATCTCCAGGATGAACACTGTATTATTGACAGAGTTTGTTAATCTCCAGGAAGAACATTGTATTATTGACAGAGTTTGTTAATCTCCAGGATGAACACTGTATTATTGACAGAGTTTGTTAATCTCCAGGATGAACACTGTATTATTGACAGAGTTTGTTAATCTCCAGGTTGAAGGTTGAAGATTGTATTATTGACAGAGTTTGTTAATCTCCAGGATGAACACTGTATTATTGACAGAGTTTGTTAATCTCCAGGATGAACACTGTATTATTGACAGAGTTTGTTAATCTCCAGGATGAACACTGTATTATTGACAGAGTTTGTTAATCTCCAGGATGAACACTGTATTATTGACAGAGTTTGTTAATCTCCAGGATGAACATTGTATTATTGACAGAGTTTGTTAATCTCCAGGATGAACATTGTATTATTGACAGAGTTTGTTAATCTCCAGGATGAACATTGTATTATTGACAGAGTTTGTTAATCTCCAGGATGAACACTGTATTATTGACAGAGTTTGTTAATCTCCAGGATATTATTGACAGAGTTTGTTAATCTCCAGGATGAAGATTGTATTATTGACAGAGTTTGTTAATCTCCAGGATTTGTATTATTGACAGAGTTTGTTAATCTCCAGGAAGAACATTGTATTATTGACAGAGTTTGTTAATCTCCAGGATGAACACTGTATTATTGACAGAGTTTGTTAATCTCCAGGATGAACACTGTATTATTGACAGAGTTTGTTAATCTCCAGGATGAACATTGTATTATTGACAGAGTTTGTTAATCTCCAGGATGAACATTGTATTATTGACAGAGTTTGTTAATCTCCAGGATGAACATTGTATTATTGACAGAGTTTGTTAATCTCCAGGATGAACACTGTATTATTGACAGAGTTTGTTAATCTCCAGGATGAACACTGTATTATTGACAGAGTTTGTTAATCTCCAGGATGAACACTGTATAATTGACAGAGTTTGTTAATCTCCAGGTTGAAGATTGTATTATTGACAGAGTTTGTTAATCTCCAGGATGAACATTGTATTATTGACAGAGTTTGACAGAGTTTGTTAATCTCCAGGATTGTATTATTGACAGAGTTTGTTAATCTCCAGGATGAACATTGTATTATTGACAGAGTTTGTTAATCTCCAGGATGATCTCCAGGATGAACACTGTTATTGACAGAGTTTGTTAATCTTGAACATTGTATTATTGACAGAGTTTGTTAATCTCCAGGATGAACATTGTATTATTGACAGAGTTTGTTAATCTCCAGGATGAACACTGTATTATTGACAGAGTTTGTTAATCTCCAGGATGAACATTGTATTATTGACAGAGTTTGTTAATCTCCAGGAAGAACATTGTATTATTGACAGAGTTTGTTAATCTCCAGGATGAACACTGTATTATTGACAGAGTTTGTTAATCTCCAGGAAGAACATTGTATTATTGACAGAGTTTGTTAATCTCCAGGATGAACACTGTATTATTGACAGAGTTTGTTAATCTCCAGGATGAACATTGTATTATTGACAGAGTTTGACTCCAGAGTGTATTATTGACAGAGTTTCTCCAGGATGAACATTGTATTATTGACAGAGTTTGTTAATCTCCAGGTTTGTATTATTGACAGAGTTTGTTAATCTCCAGGATGAACATTGTATTATTGACAGAGTTTGTTAATCTCCAGGATGAACATTGTATTATTGACAGATTTTGTTAATCTCCAGGATGAACATTGTATTATTGACAGAGTTTGTTAATCTCCAGGATGAACACTGTATTATTGACAGAGTTTGTTTATCTCGAGGATGAACTTTGTATTATTGAGAGTTTGTTAATCTCCAGGATGAACATTGTATTATTGAGAGTTTGTTAATCTCCAGGATGAACATTGTATTATTGACAGAGTTTGTTAATCTCCAGGATGAACATTGTATTATTGACAGAGTTTGTTAATCTCCAGGATGAACATTGTATTATTGACAGAGTTTGTTAATCTCCAGGATGAACATTGTATTATTGACAGATTTTGTTAATCTCCAGGATGAACACTGTATTATTGACAGAGTTTGTTAATCTCCAGGATGAACATTGTATTATTGACAGAGTTTGTTAATCTCCAGGATGAACATTGTATTATTGACAGAGTTAATCTCCAGAATGGACATTATATTATTGACAGAGTTTGTTAATCTCCAGGATGAACATTGTATTATTGACAGAGTTTGTTAATCTCCAGGATGAACATTGTATTATTGACAGAGTTTGTTAATCTCCAGGATGAACATTGTATTATTGACAGAGTTTGTTAATCTCCAGGATGAACACTGTATAATTGACAGAGTTTGTTAATCTCCAGGTTGAAGATTGTATTATTGACAGAGTTTGTTAATCTCCAGGATGAACACTGTATTATTGACAGAGTTTGTTAATCTCCAGGAAGAACATTGTATTATTGACAGAGTTTGTTAATCTCCAGGATGAACACTGTATTATTGACAGAGTTTGTTAATCTCCAGGATGAACACTGTATAATTGACATGTTAATCTCCTGGATGAATACTGTATTATTGACAGAGTTTGTTAATCTCCAGGATGAACATTGTATTATTGACAGAGTTTGTTAATCTCCAGGATGAACACTGTATTATTATTGTTAATCTCAAGGATGAACATTGTATTATTGTTAATCTCCAGGATGAACACTGTATTATTGACAGAGTTTGTTAATCTCCAGGATGAATACTGTATTATTGACAGTTTGATGAACATTGTTAATTGACAGAGTTAATCCAGGATGAACACTGTATTATTGACAGAGTTTGTTAATCTCCAGGATGAATACTGTATTATTGACAGATTTTGTTAATCTCCAGGATGAACATTGTATTATTGACAGAGTTAATCTCCAGGATGAACACTGTATTATTGACAGAGCTTGTTAATCTCCAGGATGAACATTGTATTATTGACAGAGTTAATCTCCAGGATGAACACTGTATTATTGACAGAGTTTGTTAATCTCCAGGATGAATACTGTATTATTGACACAGTTTGTTAATCTCCAGGATGAACATTGTATAATTGACAGAGTTAATCTCCAGGATGAACACTGTATTATTGACACAGTTTGTTAATCTCCAGGATATACATTGTATTATTGACAGAGTTAATCTCCAGGATGAACACTGTATTATTGACAGAGTTTGTTAATCTCCAGGATGAATGCTGTATTATTGACAGAGTTTGTTAATCTCCAGGATGAAGATTGTATTATTGACAGAGTTAATCTCCAGGATGAATACTGTATTATTGACAGAGTTAATCTCCAGGATGAATACTGTATTATTGACAGAGTTGTTAATCTCCAGGATGAAGATTGTATTATTGACAGAGTTGTTAATCTCCAGGATGAAGATTGTATTATTGACAGAGTTAATCTCCAGGATGAATACTGTATTATTGACAGAGTTAATCTCCAGGATGAATACTGTATTATTGACAGAGTTGTTAATCTCCAGGATGAATACTGTATTATTGACAGAGTTTGTTAATCTCCAGGATGAATACTGTATTATTGACAGAGTTGTTAATCTCCAGGATGAAGATTGTATTATTGACAGAGTTGTTAATCTCCAGGATGAAGATTGTATTATTGACAGAGTTAATCTCCAGGATGAATACTGTATTATTGACAGAGTTTGTTAATCTCCAGGATGAACACTGTATTATTGACACAGTTTGTTAATCTCCAGGATGAACACTGTATTATTGACACAGTTTGTTAATCTCCAGGATATACATTGTATTATTGACAGAGTTAATCTCCAGGATGAACACTGTATTATTGACATATTTTGTTAATCTCCAGGATGAATACTGTATTATTGACAGAGCTTGTTAATCTCCAGGATGAACACTGTATTATTGACAGAGTTTGTTAATCTCCAGGATGAATACTGTATAATTGACATGTTAATCTCCAGGATGAATACTGTATTATTGACAGAGTTGTTAATCTCCAGGATGAAGATTGTATTATTGACAGAGTTAATCTCCAGGATGAACACTGTATTATTGACAGAGTTTGTTAATCTCCAGGATGAATACTGTATTATTGACAGATTTTGTTAATCTCCAGGATGAACATTGTATTATTGACAGAGTTTGTTAATCTCCAGGATAAACATTGTATTATTGACAGAGTTTGTTAATCTCGAGGATGAACTTTGTACATAGTTGACAAAGTTTGTTAATTTCCAGTATTTACTTTGTATATCATAGACAAAGTTGTTAACTTTGTGCATTGATGACAGTGTTTGTTTTGATATTTTCAGGATTAACCCTTAAATATCCTTGAATCATCTGATATCCAGTCACCACTGTCCTGAGGCCAGCAGATTGTGGGTAAAAAGGATCTACAGAGGAAACATTTCATGCTAAACTATTATTGTATATTATTTAGACTTTGTTTCCTGGTCGTCTGGTCGTCATCTCTCTTGGATCAGTGGATGGAAGAAAAGATCTGTTTAATTTCTCTGAGAAGTGATTATAGAGGAAATGTTTCACATAAAACTGTTATTGTATATCATTTTCTGGGTCGTCATCTACTTGGATTTGTGAATGGAAGAAAGGATCTGTTTTAAGACTCTGTGGATCAGCAGTAGGATGAAATGTGCTGTTCGATTTCTGGAAATTTTTGCAGAGGAAATGCTTCAAGATATACTCTGTTCCATTCAATGTGTTCTTTATTGAGGGTTTATAAACACAACACACAACATAACGACAAACGTAGAGGTGTTCTGTTGTGTCAGTGTCGAATGGACTTCTCTGTGCTTGCAGTTTATAGGCCATTTATTTTATGAATTAAATAAAGATATTCCAGTGAGACATATGCTATTTTTTATAGAATCATCCAATATACAATTCTGTATAAATGGGAAACAGGATTCCTTTAATTGATTCACTTGTTCTACTGCCGAATGTCGTCATGCGTTTTCCGTCGTCAACAATTGACACAAATCACGAAAATCATGATACCGTGACAATTACTAAAATATCTCCGACTAAAAGGGAAAATAGTTCTCTCCCCTTGTAGTGATTCAGTTGATGACTTCTTTGTTATGTTAATGCAACATATTGTCGATAAAGGGTGACAATACAGGTCTTGTAATTTATGATAGAAGCATGAGTTTTAGTAGAAATGGTCGAGACTAATAACAATTTTAGGATTTCGTTTTTTTTCCAAGAAATTTGTGAAACACAAATGTTCATTACCAAGTCATTACTTTTCTTTTCATCATGGAAATAGTAGTGTCTAACTTGTAATAAAACTGAATAAAGGTTTTTTAAGTGTATGTAAGTAAACATTTCCCCAGCATACACTGGTAGAAGTTAGACAACTGCACAGCGGTTGTTGTTCTCCAAATAATTAACCACGACAAACCTCAAGTTATTTCAGTCGCGCGTAATTTGGATAAAGATAAACCACAACGTATATTTAAAACAAGTTCTTCTACTTGATCGATCCATCACATGAGTCAATTTCCAACCACACCAACAGATATCAATGCTTTTCTAAACGACCTTAACACATTCAACATTCGATTCGTCATTCAACAACCACAACCTTGATGATGCGTCCGTATTGAGTGAAGGTCCCCACAACCTTGATGATGCGTCCGTATTGAGTGAAGGTCCCCACAACCTTGATGATGCGTCCGTATTGAGTGAAGGTCCCCACAACCTTGATGATGCGTCCGTATTGAGTGAAGGTCCCCACAACCTTGATGATGCGTTCATATTGAATGTAGCTCTCCACAACCTTGATGACGTGTCCATATTGAATGAAGCTCTCCACAACCTTGATGACGTGTCCATATTGAATGAAGCTCTCCACAACCTTGATGACGTGTCCATATTGAATGAAGCTCTCCACAACCTTGATGACGTGTCCATATTGAATGAAGCTCTCCACAACCTTGATGACGTGTCCATATTGAATGTAGCTCTCCACAACCTTGATGACGTGTCCATATTGAATGAAGCTCTCCACAACCTTGATGACGTTTCCATATTGAATGAAGCTCTCCACAACCTTGATGATGCGTCCGTATTGAATGAAGCTACCCCAAAACCTTGATGCGTTCATACTGAATGAAGCTCCCAACAACCTTGATGATGCGTCCGTATTTTGAAGATAGAACAACAAAAACTTGGAATGTATTCTGCTTTTAAAGACAGGTCAATAAACCATCTTGGAATGATTTTCTCATAGTCGTACAGTTTTGCCGGACTGGTCTTGACGTTTGGTTGGAAAACCGCTACCATACAGACTCATTTACATTCAATTGTTCGCAAAGGAAGAGTGCATTTAAGTACTTCAATAAGGTATTAGTATGTTCTAGTATGAGTAAGTGTCCTCCATGCAATTGTTTACCTTTTGTTGATTCTCCGTTCTTGAGTAACTACTAAGAAACTATCCAAATCTCGTTTCTGACCAAATATCGTTTATCGGTATAGCGACAAATTGCAAAGTTCGAGTAATTACCAATTCCATTCATGTAGGGAATAGCGGGTTGTAGCTATGAGGTCACAGTAATCCTCGTGACATTTGCGATATGTTCGGTATTTTGACTTGGATTTATCCTTCTAATGGTACATAAGTCATAATGTTGGCAATTTTTTATTCCATTCTGTTAATATTGAGTCCTTTCAATCTCTAGTTGAAAATTACAAGAAACACGAGTGATCTTCACAATGCAATGGATCGTATATTTAAAAAAAACAGTGCAAAGGCAATGTTTAATGCGCTCACTGTTTGTCACACTTTTTAGATTTTTAGTGGAAATAGAATGGTATGGAATACGATCGGATCGTAATAAATTCTGACAGCAGCAGTATCGAGTAGTAATAACAATATTACGTCACAATTCATGATAAACAATAGGTTGTCATTTAGGATTTGTGTTCCTTACTGCAATCACAATACAAAAAAAGCGCTCTTCGCTAAATGCAAGCCCATAATCATTCGTTAACTTCATTGACTGAAGTAGTTTTCCACGACGATTTTAAAATTTAACAATTGAATCAATATTTTTATATCACAACCCGACTGTCGTGTGATGTAATACGTCACTCGGTATGTAATACTTCATATAAAACAATTACAGGTATAAACCCGGTTTTAATGTAAGATACAAACGTGTAGCTATCGTACAGAAGGGTGTCGGTGATGTAGCAGAGACAAACGTGTAGCTACCGTACAAGAGGGTGATGAAGCAGAGACAAACGTGTAGCTATCGTACAAGAAGGTGTCGGTGATGTAGCAGAGACAAACGTGTAGCTACTGTACAAGAAGGTGTCGGTGATGTAGCAGAGACAAACGTGTAACTACTGTACAAGAGGGTGATGAAGCAGAGACAAACGTGTAGCTATCGTACAAGAAGGTGTCGTGATGATGTAGTACAGCAGACAAACGTGTGTAGTACTATCAGAGACAAACGTGTAGCTATCGTACAAGAAGGTGTCGGTGATGAAGCAGAAACAAACGTGTAGCTATAGTACAAGTGGGAGTCGATGATGAAGCAGAAACAAACGTGTAGCTATAGTACAAGTGGGAGTCGATGATGAAGCAGAAACAAACGTGTAGCTATAGTACAAGAAGGTGTCTTTGATGAAGCAGAAGACACCCTAACGGAACACCTTGTCATGTTATCCTTATACTGTTTTATTAGTATATGAGTAAATATTTCTGTTGTTCATATTTTGTCCTGTTTTCATCGAATATGTATTCATTCCGTTAATACATCGTGTTTGCCGTTTTCGTATTACATTTGTATCACTACACAGTGTTATTGCAAATTATAATTAATTATCAGTTAAACAGTGCTGACGAGGAACATGTGTTGTTGTTGTTGACCAAGCCTCACTAAAATGACAACATAGGTGAGTTCCAACGAATGTCCACTATGATAAGGTTATATCTAGTTCAGCGTTCACTGACGCAATAATCATTTTCTCACACCTATAAGTCAATGGAGAGGTGTCGTAATTCTCACTTGCATAGACAATGACATCGATTGGCACCATCCTCATACTAAGGAATACTAATTGTGAGTTATGTATAAGCTGGCGTTACTCTGACTTCTGACTGACCTACCTAACACGTGGTCACTATCGATTCACGACCATATACGGAAATGATTCATTTACTTCCATTCACAAACCATAAATCAATTTATATTTATTCTATAATAAAGTGATTTCCATTTCTTATCAAACACATGTCACTGTCTGTTCCCCAGACCGGACGTCTTCGTCTTGTCTCCTACTGTTATAGTGTCCCACATAAAAAACATAATTCGGTATGTTTTGGTAAATAACAGTGTCTTCGTTGGGGGTTTGAAGTGATTGTCAAATTGCCTCTTTGTGCTTCATTTTAGAAGTAAACTTATTCGAGTGAACAATCGGTAGCAGAAGGGCAGAGTATGAACTACGTAAGTATAAGATGAACATTGTAAATACACAAACAAAATAAGACTTAAACCCCTATTCCAGAATCCATTCTCATGATCAATAATGAAATTGTGCCCTACTCAACCTTCTTTAAAACTTGTCAGTTTCAAAGAAAAATATAAACATTAAAATTAATAGTGTGTCGGAAATTCATTAAGAAATTGGATATAATGTAGATCTTTATATAAGATTCATCACCATAAATATTTGGGTCTGTTTGGTTCGGGTCTATTGTACAAGCTGACTTCATATGACTCAAATGAAATAGAACGATTCTCAATAATTGTTATATTACGGCAACCATAAAACCGGTAGCGGTCAAAACGCTGTTGAGGGAAGACTTATATAAATTCAGCCTTGTATGAGATGGTAATCGTTAGTTCCCATGGGTATGGCGTTAATTTGGTATTATGAAAGACCTTATCACTAAACTCGACGGAGTTTTGTTAACCAGAAATTCTTATATTCTAACGAATTCATCGTCAATGCTTGTGCTTTTTGGCTTAAAGAGACGTACATTTCACGAACTACACTCCAATGGTTTAAAACCATGCATATATTTACGTACAACCGTTCACCGATATTTAATTCGGTATGGTAGTATACCGAGCTCATTTATATATTATACTATTTTCAGAAGTACATGTTCAAAATTGGTTGGATATAGTGCCAAAATAAGACTGTAACTGATTCGCTAGTATGTCAAGATTCAACATCATCATAATCCAAACTCGAATTCAATAAAACTAGGGCAAAATAGGACTCAAAGAAAGATTGATAAGGCGGCCTCCAGAAAAAGTGCAAGGATAATAAGACCAGGCATTCCGGAAGAGTGAGCAGCAAGGAGCAGCAGTTAATCACCATTGATCACTGAGGCATGTCAAGCTAGATTAGAATAAGCAGGAAATGTTATTATAGTGTTTACAAACAATGGTCAAGGTATTAGATGGCTTATCTACAAACAATTACATATCGATGAATGTTGTGTGGTAATAGGATCAATGTTTAACACTCGCTCTAAACAACTAATTATTTTAAGAAACAATTGACCAAACGGGTTTAAACAATTCTAAAAGTCAATCAATCGGAGCATGATATCCTTCCAGCTAAAATGGTGTAGTTTTTTTAAAATAGAATCCACATGTACATGAACAGGAGTACGCTGATGCAAAACTTTTTGTAAAATTATCTATATCTATCAGTTTCAGCGTTTTAATGTAATTTGAAAGCTTGGAAGCAATGGACTAAGAAAAACTGGCAGAAATAAACATTTTCTATTTGATGAATTATTTTGGAGTGTGACGAAATAACATAACACTATATATTATACTCTAATTGGTGTGTCGACCTATTTTTATTATAAGTACATTCAC